GGCTGCTTCGCAGTTTGGTGTTTCTTCGTTAAGCCTGCGCGAGACGATGGAGCAGATGGAGGAGAACCGTGCCCCGAAGGAGGCGGACAGCGGTGTCGTTGATTCGACTGGGGAAGATGAGTGAACTGGTCCTTGAATTGTGGAGTGGCGATGGAATCGGAGTTTTCTGGCTTTGTACTCGTTTCAAGGATTGTATGTTGCTCGCTGGCAAGCTTAGCAATATTGTGATGGCAGGGAGTCAGACAGGCATCCGACTTTACTGGTCCCGGAGGAATGGTCAGCGGATACGTCATGCCACGGCTCAAGCTTCGGCCATGATCCCGGCATCTTTGGGGGTAGTCTGGGCTCTACCTTGCTGCATGGCCTATCACCAGTTTTGTACTTTGATGGACGCGTTCTCTCTGGTAAATAGGAATTCTCCACTTTCGCACTATGACATGCCATGTGCTCGATGAAAAACTTGACAGAGGGGCGAACCCGTAAATACGCCTCTCGTTGTTGATTTTGCATTTGAAACAGAATTCATAGAGGGCACTGTACGGTATGCTGCGATCACCCTGGCTTTGAGAGATGAGATGCGTTCAAAGACGCAGACAGATGCACTCGCTGGGCCTCGCGACAGCATTAAAACTAGCGTAGACGAAAATATCAAGCCAGCCCTGATGTCAGAGAACACGAAACCCCCAGGAACTAATGTACAGAGCTGGTCAATCAGGCTGCGAGAATCGGGTCCCGCAAACCCTTAACGGTTGCTTCAGCATCATTGTCGTCCATGATACAACAGGACAAGATTGGCGATTAATTGCAGGCCATCCAACATGGCCTCACATACAAGCACTACGGACAGGATAAACAAGTATGTAGGAATGGACGTTCCGACACTTGGAATACAGTCTTTCGTACGGCAGTGACCGAGTTACGAGCCACCTTGTATCCGTTGTGACGAATATGTAAAGCTTCACGACACCAATCGCTCAGAGACACAAGCGACGTCTCTGCGCAGCCCCCCCCTGACTGCGCTTCTCGGCATGAGAAGGCGGCCACGTCGTAGTACATAGGGAGGCACGATTGTTGATCATCGCATCCAATCTTATCTTCGAGGAACTGTAGGATCCAGCCCATTTGCACGTTGATGGCCAGGCACCTCCCAAGGTACCTTAAGGGAGGTACCTTAAGGCAAAGCACCTTACCTAGGTAATACCTAGGTACTCAAGGTATAAATGGTTTGTGGTCAGAACAGACCGCCTTCCTGTTATGGCCAACAATGGTCCTCAGGGTACGTCCCTGCCGGCCCGGCTGTGACAAGTCCCATCTCTCTCCACACCTGCCTGGTCAGCTTACAGGGGCTGACCAGGGGGCCTATTATTTGATGACTTTCCCATCAATTGCCCTAGTATTTTGTCTACATCTCATTGGCTCGTAGACCAGCCTTACTAAGGTGGTAGAACTTTGTGCAAGGAAAGGAACGTCACTGTTTGTACCGTCCAAGCGTCTCCCAACAGGTAGGGGTGGTCGCTACCTCGGAGGGTATCGAAACTTTTGCCCCCAACCATGTACTTCGCCCTCACTCCATCGCTTTCTTGCCACTTGCCTGGGCTCACAACATTCTGGTGCTATCGGCATTTTCTTCTTCCTGTCGGGGTACACCTCATCGCCGACATAGATGCCTCAAGGAGAGGCGCCTTTGGGTGACGAAGCTACTACATGTGACCTGACCCAGCAAGAGGCTAATTTGGACCCACACCTAAATATTAGTCATTCTATAGCTTTTTCGTTTTCGTATCTCCCGTCACAATTCTTCCTTCCGTACATCGTCTCAGGATATCGACGGCTACGCGCACTCCATCAGACTCGTCTGGCCCATACTGCTTGTGCTTCTAGATCCCCAAAAACCCTCCGATACCTTGGCGCATGGCATCGCGGGGCAGACTAACCTGTCAAGCATTCATCGGAACTCAATCTACGCGCTGCCGTCAAATGCAACTGACTTAGGTGCCACTTGGCGCGTCTACGGCTCTCTTACCGCGTTGAGACCCTGTAGACCCACTCGTCTGACGCGCCCTCACACCAGGTCGCGACCTCCTCTCGTCCATTGAGATTATCCATCGACTACAGCGGCACGGCAAGCTCTTGCTGGATTTTCGTCCCTGTTTACCATGCCACCCGAGATAGGGGGGGGGCGCAAGCTCTTCGAACGGCGTTGACGTGGACGGTGACCATGGGATGGCCGGGACTGAGCAAGGCACACGCGTCAGTAGCCATGATCTGCCCTCCGCCACCACAGAGCAGCGAAAAGATGCCGTCTCCATGCCCGACGACCAGCCTGCTGCTACAACCTCCTTTTCTTCGCCGCAGATGAATGGTGGCCAGATTCTGAATGGACAGTCGAACGGTCCCCATGGCCCCTCTGCCCCCGAGGCACCTAGTTCTGGAACAAAGCTCGCGTCTCGTCCCAGTCGAGATCTCGGCAGCCCGTCGACACTTCTGTCGTTTGAGGAGCAATGTGCAAGCCTCGGCCACGCCTTTGACAAGGCCCCCGCTGAGGTGTTGCGGCGACTCGTTCGCGACTACTGGCAGAAGACCCTCGTGGGCTCCGATTACCACACGACCTTCATCGTACGTCTGCTGCTTGGCTACTCTTTTACTGTCCATGTTAACAAATCGTACAGATGCGCATGGTAGCAGAACAACTTCCTGCTGTAGGCAAAGACACGCTTCGCCAGCAGCTGGCCACATTTGTGGCACCAGCCCTCGGCACCGCAGTCGCCCAACAGCTCAGTACAGGGCAGATTGAACGGGCCATGCCCGCGCTCGTCTCCAACGGCAGCGACGCTTTCATGGCAGCTTGTCTTTACAAGTGTCTCGCCACTATAGGCGCACGACAACTGGTCGATGCCCTGGCGTCCACCAAGCGCTTAGGCTTTGAGTTGACGGATTCTGTTGAGCACGGAGAACGGATCCGCCCGGCCATCTCGAACGTGCAGACGGAGATTCAACATTCGGCTCCTGTTCCCGGTATCTATCGGTGTGCGCTTTGCGGCCGCCACTTTACCAACAAGGCAGCCCACCTCTACGTAAGCATCGCCGTCTCTTCCCCCCCCCTGCCTCACCAGGTGTCCCGATGCCTAACTCCCTGACAGCACATCTCCAAGCTCAAATGTACAGAGCCGCCAAAAGCGCCAGTCGTGAGCCGGTGCGCTGCCTGTGGCGCCACCTTTTCGACAGCTGGCGGCGTTGGCTATCATGCTGGCAACAACGTCTGCGGAGGCTACAGTCCTGAACCCAACGACCCGCGTCCTCCACCTGCCGTCCATCATCAGATGTCGCAGCCGCAGCAGCAACCTCAACCTCAGCAAGAGCCTCAGCACCGCCAACCTGTCCAACATACCCACGGCGCGCCCAAGCACGCCATGTCCACGACACCTATACCTCTGCCGAAGCTCCCCTCTGCTGCGTCCGGTAGTGCCAAGCCTCTGCACTGGAAGCCGACGCTGATACCAGGGCCCCTGACGCCTGCTAGCAAACCTCCCCCTCCCCCTACAGACTTGACCCTCGTCCGCAGTGATGTGCAGGCCCACACCCAGCGCCCTATCCAGTCCCATACCCCGGTCCCGGTTCCGTCGTCTGGCTTCACGCCTGTGCCGGCACGTCAACACAGCCAGCACACGCCACGCTCACAGCAGCACACGCAGGTCCAAAGAGGCGCACCATCATCTGCCACCAGATCGCCCCATTCCGGCTTTCGACACGAGTCTGGTGAACTTCAAGGGCCCTGGGTCAGCTGACGAACGAGCACGCGCCGACTATACGATCGCATGCAAGCAGAGCATGCCTACGAAGTGAAG